CAGACTGCTGCCGTGACCCGTCACATTGTAGACGCTTCTGAATGAATTTTCAACAACTTGAGAAGAAAAGCGAGCGTAACCAATCAGAACCATATCTGTGCTTCCAGGAGACTTTTTGTACCACTGAATCATGTCGAAATCAGTGTTAGAATGGTTGCAGTTTATCTGGATCTCTTCTCCATGCCTTTGGATCACATTAGTGGGAGCCTGATGAACGCTGTTTTTTGCGAGTTCTGCAGGAGGACAAAAATGAAGGAAGAATCCTCAGAAATAAGATATTTGAATGAAGATTATTCTTTAGGAATTGGTTTAATGTTACCTGTTAAACAGAACGGCAGAGCTACAAAGTGCACAAAGAGACTGAACATGATCCCAGAGTGAAGAAGAACTAACAGTTAATGAGAAATGCAAAACTGAACAGAGCTGTCTGGAGGTAAAGGAGGAGCAGGGATCAACTTCACGGGATGAACATTTGACAGTTTCCTGTTGTGTGGGTGAACACAGGAAGAGGAGGTTTTAATGATGAGATCTTGTTTCATTTATTCCCATTAACTGGTTTGACATGCAGGTGTCCTCTTATTCATTTTGTTTTTATGCGGTTGATTACTTGAGCACTTTAACAGTAACCAGTATGGTTGATAGACTCCATGGATATAAGAGTGTAAAGCACCATCAATAATGCAGAGCCCAAAAAATGGTATGATCTTTTTAATAATTTAACACACAGATCAATCTGACACATAAGACACGAAAAACTGCTTGTGTCTGTCGGGAAAAATGGTGATCAATGTGAGGAAAACTGTTTCCTTAGATATATTTTACATCATACAGGTTTTGTGCTCTACAGTGGCCAGTAGATACAACCCATCGAAAAAAACTTTGATAAGGTACATTTCCTTTCTGGTTGATTTTGTAGTTAGGAAAATTGTTTTAGGATTTAATAGTTCTGTAAAGGTTGATTTGTTTTCCTAAATGGGATTTTGTCTCAAACTTTGTCAAAGTGTTAGAATTTGTAATGTTTCCAGCTTGCATAGAGCTCCCCCTGCAGACAAATAAAGACAGTGATGATTTTAGTTCTCAGTGACAGCAGCAGCTGGGTTTTTGTGCTTCTCCTTAAATCACCTGCATCACTGTGTTGACTCACAGAGCAGAAATA